ATATTAATAAAACGTTAAAAATTTGATATGAGAAAAGGCTACTGGAAAATGCAATGCATTTTTCGAATGAATACTGATTAAATATGAATTTTGTATAGTGTTTTTACTCATTAATTTGTGAATGAATACTAATTTAAAATGTCTACAACTAAATTTCTTCATTCTTTGTATGAACCATTATTGATTTTTGATATGACTCTGGTATAAAAATTGACGTAAATTTTGTTATGAAATTCGTATAATAGTAAGATCAAATTTGTAATAAAAAATTTATAATTTTTTATGGCACGAATCTGGTATGATTCAATTTTCATTTTTGGCATCATATTGGTATGGAATTGTGCATAATAGTGGGATGAAAATTGGTATTACTTAATAAAAGACAATTACCAGTTATAAATTGTATGATTTTGTATTCTTTTTTGCATGAATCTGGTATGAATCAGTGTTTACTTTTGACATGAAATAGGTATGCATAAAAATGGTATGAAATTCGTATACTGATATAACATATGTATAAAATTTATTTATACTTTTGTATCCTGTAATAGTAACACAATAATTTATGATAGAACAGAAAAATATGCAATTTAAAAAGTGTCGGAGCATAAATTATTGTCATCTGGTTCAAAAAGAATTGTATAGAGACACAACTTGAACGCTGGAAAGGGTTTGCTGATGTGAAATTCAAGAGGTCTAAGGTTATGTGTAGTACATGTCGTCGGGAGGAACACAACAAGAAGACATGTTCAAATTACCCTGCTCAAAAAAAGACATAATTTATTTTTACTTTGTTTTGGTTGTTTTACTGTGGCAAACTTATGTTTTGATTTATTTAGTCTTTTAAGTTAATGAATTATAATTTCAGAACATATATTATTTGTACTAGTTAATCATTTGTGTATTAAGTGTTTTTCAAATGTATAGTCAAAAACTAGGTAATGTTGGTATGCAATTGTTATCGATCGAAAAAATTAAGTCAAACTTAGTATGAAATTGGTATACATTTGGTATCCAACTGATGTCTCAGTGGTAAAATTGAAAAACAACATGTAATTGAGATTTCAACTGAAATAGATAACCGAAAACTAGTTAATGTTGCATCCAATTTTGGTATTGAACTGGTATTCCATTGGAAAATTTGAAAAAAGACAAGTAATTGAGATTTCAACTAAATTAGACAACCTAAAACTAGTTAATGTTATACCCAATTGGTATACATTTGGTAACTAACTGATATCCAATTGAAAAAATTGAATAAAAAATATGTAATTGAGATTTCAACTAAATTAATCAGCCTAAAATTAGTTAATTTGTACCCAATCGGTGTGCATTTGGTATCGAACTAATCTCATTGGAAAAATTGGAAAAAAAAACACGTAATTGAGATCTCAAATGAATTAGTCAGCCTAAAACAAGTTAACTTTGTATCCAATTGGTATACATTTGGTATCCAAGTGATATCCTATTGGAAAAATTGAAAAACGAAGATGTAATTGAGATTTCAACTGCATTAGTCAGCCTAAAATAAGTTAATGTTGTATCCAATTGGTATACATTTGGTATCCAAGTGATATCCTATTGGAAAAATTGAAAAACGAAGATGTAATTGAGATTTCAACCAAATTAGACAACCTAAAACAAGTTAATGTTGTATTCAATTGGTATCCAACATATATCCCACTAGAAAAAGAAAAATAAATGTAATTGATGTTTCAGATAACATAAAACAAGTTAACGTTGTATCCAATTTGTATACACTTGGTATCCAGATCATGTTCTTTTGCTATGCGCGGTCCATCATTTTCCTATTTGTATCCGACTTGTTGAAAAATGAATGCTAACACCATATGAAATTGGTATCCAATTTGTATCCATGTGAAAAAATCAAGTATAACAATATATGCATAGTATATATTGTTGTCAAAAACTGAAAATAAATAAATAAACGACATCCTAAAATATAAACGTGGAATGAAAGTCTAAGTCGATCATCTGTATAACAATTGATCTCCTTGGTCTTGTTGCATGATAATAGGTAGTATCCAGAGCATGTTCTTTTGCTATGTGCAGTCCATCATTTTTCCTTTTCTCTTTTGTCCCTTTCGATTTTGGGGAGTTGCAATTTTCTTTGCTTCTTTTTTCTTCTCCTTCTTGTGAGGGGCAACACTCTTGTTCGGCGGATTTGCATTTTTGTTGGTCGAAGACATTTGAGTCAAGATGTTAAAAGATGGAGCCTCAATTTCAACATTAGAACTGGCTTCTATGAATCTGAGCTCTTTCTAAGTGTATGCTCATCTTTTTTTGGAAAGCCTAAAATCTTGATTCTTAGTATTGTGAAAAAGATTTGACCTTTCTTTTGAGTGTACAACGAAAAAAACTGATTATGGTGAGAGAGATGATTTACTATTTCTAAGAAGAAGAATGAAGACGTGAGAGAGAATTTTTTACCTTTGAACGTGGGAGTGGTGGGGTGCTGTTTTGGTGTGTGAGAAAGAGAGAAACGTGGTGATGGGGATGACTTGTGACAATAAAAAAAAAAACCTAATATCACTGTAATATTATGTGTGAAAGGTAACAAAATCCCTAAAAAAGGGTAATAGATAATCATTGATTCTCTCTTATTAATTGTATTTATATCACCTATTAATTAAAATATAATTATATTAGATTAATTATTTAATAAAGTGGAGTTTAATTGATTTTAAATAAAAAATGATCTGTTATAACTTGAAATTAAAATGTTATAAGTAGTAATATTTTGAAAGTACATTTAAAATTTATAATATTGTCCCTTAAATATATATGTGAGGTGATTTTTCCATTATTTATTTTCTTCTTAAAGAATTTAATGAGACTATTACAACACGCTAGGAAGGGTTTAATAAACCTGCTGGCTTGCATCTTTTACTCATTGTTGGACCAGTCAAAATCTGGAATACGTAAAGTGAAATTTGGGCTAATTTTGACTCATACAAGAATTTTGTCAACTGTTATAATGTAATAATTTGACTACAGAGTCGCGCTTGTCACATAGAGTTTGTCTAGTGCGATTTACATCTCTTGTATGATTTGCAGGCTATTATACAGTGGGGATTTACACAGTGCGCACAAAGTGCTCACCCGAAGGGTAGAGGATGTGACAGAGGTTGTAGTGACTGTTGATTATCCCAGAGTTCAAAAAAAAATAGACAACACTAAGCACAAACTACACATAATTTCCTCGATCTAAAATTATGTCCACACTTAGTTTTAGTGGAACACAAATTTGGCACGTTCGTGCCATTTTAATGCACACCACATATCTACATTGAAGCTACCTCTTTTTTATTTTCTTCTCTTCGCATTATTTGAAATGAAAAGAAAAAATAATCAAAACTATATAATATAATAATATGCTAAAATAACAGATGCAAAAAGGAACAAAATTTATCGAATTCGTAATAAATTTTGAAGTACTATTTCTACTCTAACCAAATTCACCTGTCTATTATTTTCTAGAACCTCATGTCCATGGGGATAAGAGGTAATGAGAATTTTATTATTGAATATGTTTACATTTCTATTTTATTTTTCATGGTTTAAAAAAAAAAAAAAACTATAGCCACTCCTTGTAATTAGGTCGTTTGTTGTATTAATAATAACGTATCTTTATTTTTTTTTAATCTCTTATTTATTATTATTCTTATTTCCTTTTTTTCCATTTTCTTTTCCTTTATTATTCTATTATTATTTTCCCTTTTCATCTTTATCTTTCCTCTCTTATTTTTTTTTTCTTTTTTAATTAATGACAATAATACTTCTCGTCAAAAAGGAAAAAATAAATAAATTAAACCACTTGAACCTTTTTACTCTACAAAACAGATAAATTCCAATTTGAACTTCTAGCTGATGAAATTAATTTCGTGATTATGGCATTTTTTTCTCTTTCCCAATATTATAAAATGGGGATTTCCTTAGTAATTTAGGCCAAAACTAAAATCCCATCTTATTTTTCTGATTAGAGAATTAATCATATCTAATCTATTATTGAATTTCACAAGTACTCCAACGGTTGTTCCTTGCTAAAGGATATTAATACGAGGAATAAATAAAAATTTATGACGTTAAATTTTTGTGAAAGAATTTGAGATAAGACGTTACGTATTATCCACTATGTAAAGCCTCATAAATTCAAAAGGGAGTTACATTAATTTGGAATTGTAAAAGGAGCAAAAAAATGTGTTTATGTAAAAATAAGAAAAAACACATAAATGTCTTTAAATTTTACAATAAATATAGTCAAACATCCACTCAAACAACAATAACAACGTAAAATCCTACTAGGTGAGGTCTAAAAACAAAAAAGAAATATGCTTAAATCTTATTAATCAATATCTATATCTAGAAATAGTGAGGTACACATAGATCTTATCAATCAATATCTACATCTAAAAATAGTAGAATATACGTAAATCTTATTGATAATATCTGCATCATATATATTTTAATGGAATTATGAGCATCCACATAATCCGTATAATTCAGTTTTAGATACTGAATTTGTGGGGTCTTATCCAAAATAAATATGCAGAGGACATAGTCAGCTACGCGGTGAAAATGCAATGGATTATTCATAAACTGCCAAATTTGATAAAATCGATAATATTGCAATTTAACAGCTCATATAGATGCTCATTGTTTGCCTAAAAATAACCATCTTGATCCAATTATTCAAAAAAAACATTAATTTTTTAAATTCAAAATCAAAACATGACAAACAGAAAAAAAGAAAAAAGAAAAAAGCCAACACAAATACACGCAAGCAAGATTATTAAATAATCCTTAATCATCTCGATAATCCAAATCAGATCAAGACACATAGCAGCCTACATTATCAATTAGTATATCCAAAACCAGAAAATTAGGAAAAATTTAAGGAAAAAAGAAAAAAGGGAAATTTGTTTATGGATAAACCTCACAGTTTAAATCTGAGTCATTGACCCCACCTAATCCATCTTTTTCCTTTTTCACTTTTTTTTACCTTTAATTATTCTCTCTCTCCACCATTTCTTTTCTTCTTTAAAGTTTCATAGAGAACCCAAAACCCACAATCTATTTTTGCCTTTCATCCTTCTCAACCATAAAAAAGAAGAGTTTATTTTATTTTTTTAAAAGTTGAGTTCTTTGTTGTTGCATTCTTGTTTTATTAGAAGAAACTGGTTCTTGATCCAAAAGGGTAGGTGGGAATTTGTTTGTTGGATGCTATATTCTTGATTAGTCTTCAGATTTTTTTTTTAGGAGAACAAAAAATGGCTTGTTTATTGAAAACTGGTTTTTCTGTTCACTCTTCAATTGGGGCTCTGCAAGTTACAGATTTGACACCCAATGAATTTCTGGGCAAATCTTTGGATTTATCAAATCAGAAGATTGGTTTTAGCCATTTGAATGTTAAACCTCCAAGACCCATCTCAATCAATGTATGTAAAACTCTCCTTTTGTGTTTTTCTTGGCCTTTTTGAGTTCAAAGATTGAATCCTTTTGTGTTTAAAGACTGAATCTTTTTGTGTTTTTCTTGGGCCTTTTTGAGTTCAAAGACTGAATCTTTTTGTGTTCTTGATTTCAGGCACAAGCATCAATTTGTGTTAGCAAAGCTTTAAGATGGTGGGACAAGACCCTTAAACCCAACATGGTAGAAATCCATTCAGCTAAAGAATTAGCTGATTCATTGTTAAATGCTGGTGACAGATTAGTTATAATTGACTTTTATTCCCCTGGTTGTGGAGGTTGCAGGACTTTACACCCTAAGGTATGTTACTATTATTTTTACCTAAAATGGTTTCATTTTTTCCATTTGTTTGTGTTTTGAGATTTTTTTTCTCAATTTTTGCAGATATGTCAACTGGCTGATTCAAACCCAGATGCCATTTTTCTCAAAGTTAACTATGAAGAACTCAAATCCATGTGTCATGCTCTTAGGATACATGTTTTACCTTTCTTCAGATTTTACAGAGGTGCAGAAGGCAAACTCTGTAGCTTTAGCTGTACTAATGCAACTGTAAGTTTTTCAAGATTTTAACTCCCCCAAATATTATACACTACTAAAAAGATTAGTTTTTTAATGGTAAATTTTGTTATCATTATGCAGATCAAGAAATTCAAAGATGCATTGGGAAGGTATGGGACTGAAAGGTGTAGTCTTGGTCCAGCAAAAGGGCTTGATGAATCTGAGTTGTTAGCTTTAGCTTCAATAGGTCAATTATCAAGAAATGATGATTATGATTATCCAGTGAAGGAAGAATTTGTGTTATCAGGGTTGGATTTAACTGATAATAAGAATTTGGGGCTAAAAGAAAGTGCTGAATTGTTGATGGCTTAAAATGGAGATCTGGATTAGAAGATTAATTCTTTTTTGGAGCAAATTTGCTTTGAAATTGTAATTTGTAAATATTTATTATTGGTTTAATAGGGTTTTCCATAAAGCAGGGCTGGGTTTTTTTTTGGATAAGCCCTTCTTGTTTGGTCAATCTGTTCATTGATTTTGAAATAATGATTATGTTATTTTAGATTAAATGCATTGTGCCAATCTTTTCTATTATAGTTCCTTTCAATATCCGTTTATAATGCGATTATATTTGTTGGCTTTGTAAGAACGAAAATAAATAAAAAACTTGAGAGTATAGCCACAGCAAATTCAAAAATTACACAAGATGTTGAACCTTCGTGTGAAAATTTAATACTAATATCAAATTACTGAATTTAAAAAATGGGGTTTGAAAATTTTGATGTGTATGTAGTCTTTTCTTTATTGTTAACTTAATGTAATTTTATAAATGAGATTTTGAAAATTTTGATATGTATGCCGTTTTAACTTTATCTTATAAAAGTGAAAGAGATTATTTCCGATTAACTTTTGACTAGAAATATAAGTAGCAAACCTTGAGAGGCTATCTTCTCGATAAAAGGTGTTTAAGGCAAATTCAATTAATCTTAAACCAATTTCAAAGTTTGTTGAAGTAGTAGCTAGACTAACAAATAAAAGAAAAATAGAAATGCCATCAGATTAGTTTTCAACGCTGATCCAGGATACCGTTGAACAAAAATTAAATACTACTCCTCGGCTTATTAACAAGTGAGTAAAAATGATAAGTTTATTATATTATTTTTTAAATATAATAAATTTAATATTTAAAAAAAATAATGATAACTAGTGATTAGTAAAAGTTAAAAAATTAAGTGATGATTAACCTTTATTTTTTTACAAATAAATAGATAATTATCTGTTTTAATACGGTGAACTAGTAAAAGATAGAGTAATTGTCAAAAATGTCGTTGTTAGGCTGAAGCAAAACGTCGGTGTTTTTCTGTGGATTACATGATTGAAAGCCTTGAGAAAAATCTGTTGCGCTTTCATCGTTTGACAAAGTCTAAATAATATGTGCGCCCACCGACAAAAAAGTTAACTACTTTAATTAAATGGAAAAATCCTTAATTATAATTTATATCCATACAAAAAAATGTAAAAAATTTAATTATAAAAAACTTGTTCAATACTTACGTATTAGATATGAGTAATTTTGGTTTCTTAAAAGATCACTTTCACTTCGATCCTTATTAATATATAGTATTCTTAGCTTTCATATTTAGTCCAAAAATAATATAACTTTTTATATCATACACCGCAAAGCATATTATAGTAAAAAATAGAACGAGTAATGCTTATGTCCATTTGGATCTGTTCCTAATTGCTATGTTATTGTTTGAGACTTTAATAAAAACCAAATTGGAGTTCTCCATACCTTTTTATTAATTCTTAATGTCCTTTTCAATTTTGTATTTGTTAAACGATGGAAACATTTTCTCCTCCGTCTCATTTTCAAACACATAGTTCTCCATAACTTGTGATGGCTTTGGTTCCTCCATAAATATCAATTTTTAATATTTTATTCAAGAAATGCAAATTGTAATTGTGGTCCTATACATTTGGGGGCGTAACGTGTGATGACATAACTCTAAAGCGTTCACAATTAGTTTACGTGATTCTAGTAGAGACGAATTAATTCAAAATTTGAAACATATACCTTTTAACTATTTGTAAAAATCAGAGCTTATATACGTTAAGCTTTTATAAAAAAAATAATTCAATATAAATATATAAGTTGAACTAAAATTAATTATTTCGGTCAAATCCATACCTTTACTATGTATTTGACTCTAATTTTACTTGGAAATTTAGACTTGCCAAAAACTTTAACCTTATGAATGCAAAGCTTTTTACTTTTGAGGGTTCATAGAGTCAACAAAATTACTGTGTATATTGAATAATTTTCCACTGTAATATTCTAACGAAAGATAGTGTTTTATTTGCCCTCCACATGAAGCATGAAATGTGCTTTGACTTTACACCATCCATCTTACTAACTCAATATGACAGCTGGAGTTGAACTTAGAATTTTATTTTTTTCATGCAATACAAAAATCATGACTATATCACCAATAGATAAGAGGGGTTGGTTGTGGATAAGAGTCATTAATAAACAAAAGTATTTCTTCCACATTTCATCTTCAACTTTAAATTTACTCGAATGATAAAGACATTCAACTCTAAGATTGTGAATTCAAATTCAGAAATAAAAAAATGAAATTCTTTGAATGAATTTGTTTTAAAAAAATGGTTATAAACTTATACTCAATTTATATCACTTATGAAACGGAGCTTTATCATGATGGAATGGTGGAGTTGTTTATGGAAACAAATGGGGCCCACATTTACCCACAGAAAGAGTTCTCATTACGTGGGTACCCGTGGAGCTGACGAGGATGGGACCCACCAGGAATCTCATAGATTTTCTAATATGGATTGGGATGTGTACAATTCATTTACCTCTTCCCCACTTGTTTCATTGTTCCCTACTTCTTTTTCTGTTTTAAATCTAAGGGAAAAATGACAGATATACCTTTTATTATGAAAATGACCTATATATATTTTTATCGTTATACAAATGACTTACATATATATTTATCGTTATAAAGGAGCTTATATATATCCTTTATCTAACGAAAGTGAAAAAAATAGTTTTAAATTTATTTTTTTGATTTTAAAAAGCATGTAGGGTATATATATGGCCCTTCTAGCAAAGTTCAAGGTATATTTTAATTTTTTTCATACAAAAATTATTTTTTGACTTATTTAATTATCATTATTCGAGTTTCTTATTTTTTTTTTTCTTTCCTTCTGTGAAAAAGTTTAAAATGCAAAACGTTAAAAGATGGTACAATTTTATTTGTAAATCTAAGGACATATTTTTCAAAAGTAAAACTTTAAGTATTCAAATATTACGCAACATATATGTTAGCATATTATTAATTCAAAAAAATTATTAGAAAATTGAAAAAATCATAAATAAAATTATTTATATCTGGCAGTGATGTAAATATGAGCTAAGGCCAGCTAAACTTAGTTTGATCTAAATATGTGTGATCCTGTTGGGACTCACTCACCAAAAAGCTAACTTTCTTCTCTTGTTTTACCTTAAACCCCCCGAGATAGACTTTTAACATGACAATCTAAAAAGGTAATACCCCATAACTTGTCCTAGTTGTTGAAGGAAGCTGAGAACAAGTTCAACGAAGCTGACTGACAAGTTAGAATTAAAGTCACACTAGGACTAGACTACTGAATCCTAATTTATATACGACTTACACTAGCTACTATCTTCATCAAAATTGGCACTCAATGAACATGTTAATTGGGGGAAGATCTACTAGAATAGACCAGTGGAACATTGTCAAGTCGATATCCCTTGATTCGAGATCTCAGACATGAGGTTGGGCTCTGTTACTGGTTTCATTGAGGATGAGATTGCCTATCCAATGAGTTATAAGTTTCGTCTATAGAAGGTTTGATTCTGAATCGAACCAATAAATTCCCTGTCTTTACCAAAGTCACTAAGGAGGGATCGGGTCAGTCTGATAATAATAGTGTCACATAAAACGGACATGAACAATATACTTTTGCACTGTAGGTCCCATTGAATGGATATCGTTTGAGAACAAGATATTTCGTAAAGAAACAACCAGAAGACAATTATTGGTGTGAGGTGATTCATGTCACCGTAAGGCTGTTTTGTTATTTAGTTTATGATTGCATTAAGGTAAATTACACCAATGACCAACCCTTTATATTAACATTAGGTTATGGTAAGGTTAATTTACAAGAGTTTATTTTTATTAATATTACCCAAATATTAATTATTTTCTTCATTCCAAAATAATTTTCAATCAACATCTTGAAGATGTATTTCGTTGCATAGTTGTACTATAGTTCGTACAATTTTTGAATATATATACTCCAATTTTAAAATAGTGATAATTTAATTCTATTTTACTCTGGTATATCAAAATATGAAGAGAGTAAGACAGACCATAAGATGAAGGTTGTGTAGATTTTACTCTTTAGGAGTGTTTGAATTAGCTTAAAAATTGATCAAAGCTAGTTTTAAGTAATTTTTTTAATTTCTAGAAGTGTTTGGCAAATATAATACTAATAACTTAAAATAAATAAAATGTACTTGACAAAGTTAAAATAAGTAAGCCTAGTCTTGTATGGCTATTTTATTTTAGCTTTCCTCCGTCTAGTATATTTGTCTTGCACGAATGGCAAATCCATTTGCTTGGCATATTTCATTTCCCATCCAGGTTTAATCCCCCATCAGCCTAACAACATGAAATAGTCAATGGTATTTAATGATAAAAGTTGGTACAGATGCTCCTGATTCCTGAATATCAAGTATGTTGTTTATTAATACCGCCTTATTTTTTTTTATTAGTTATTAAACAATTCAATGGTTCATCTGAATTTTTAGACAATAATTCTTCAGTCCTGGGGATTGTCCTGAGAGGGGTTATGAAGACTCCACAATGAATAGTCATCCAAGTAAATTGGACATTTTTTGGTGAACAATACAAGAAATCAAAATGAATTAGATGCAATTTAAAACACAGAACCAAAAGAGGAAAACACAAACAAACAAATTAACAAATGGGGATTGATTGTTTGCCTCAGAGGTAGTGACAATTGCAGATCATCATTCTTTGTTTCTGAATACGTGCAAATATGAATACATCATTGGCAAAAAACATAAGACAATCCAAAACCAAAAAAAAAAGGCAGTTCAAAATAAACTAAGAAAAAGGATAACATAATAATCTCAACAAGAGCCAAAAAATAATATATATAGCCTCAGCTGCGATGATTCGTTGACATGATCATGAAGAATCACAAGTCTTTTTTAGTAACATCACTGGCAAATATGATACAAATTTCATACATAAAAACACTAATTCAAGGATTTTAATACCAAATAAAACTAAAAGCTTCAAAAGAAACACATTTGTTAAGGTAAAATGGTGTGGTGCATCAGAGAGATTCCCATCGACAAATCATCACAACCCTATGGGTTCTGATGTCCCTGTCTGTTTTATCATCACTTACACATATACCATAGCGAATAAAATCTTAACAAATTAAAAGTTGCGCAAATAAGGAATTCAAGGCAAAGTTATACTTGAAT